TAAAAAGTTTACCGAACGTGTTGCATACTATACTTTTTCTACGAGCGTTAGTTTTTGGGTACATTTTCGCAAAGCACGAATACATTCACTGACATGACTGTCAGAATTGACAAACGTCAAAATTGAAAGGGATATATCTCCGGAAACATCCGATCGCTCCCAAATCTGTGCGGTAAGATCCCGGAAATGTCCGAAGGGGCTCGGATTCATGGGAAACGAAACTGACGTGGTAAAGTGACACTTCCCGTGCGCTAGATCGGTGTGTAATTAGGTATTTTACAGAGGGGGGTAGAAAAAATTCTTTTTTAGCTTTGCAGATTTCTGAAAATTGGAATTTAAGTTAAAATAGGTCATTGAGAATGCAGAAAATGTTTATTGTATGTTTTATCGATGTGTGTTGTTTGTAACATTAGCGTCATCACTAAATTTTTACCGAGATTTGTCACAGGTACGAAATTATATTGCTTTCGAACCACAGTTTCTCACCGAATGGGCATATTCCCGATTTATCCTGCTGATTTATACGATACGATATCGCCCCACCAATCAAAATATGGGAGCGGACAAATCTAGATTACTATTTGATTTAAACGACTGACCAAGCCCGTATATTCATTTGGGGTTTTGTAAATCAGGTTACGGATGTTTTTTACGGCAGGGTTCGAACGGTCTCGCACGTGAATAAGCAAAAACTGTTTAATTAATCAATTGCGGTCATTCATTTGTCTGGTCTTGTTTGTGCTTGTTAAGGTTAATTGTGTAGCGTTGGAGGAAGAACCGACTGATTTTTTGGTGCGTCACGGAGTTTGGTGTTTTTATCAAGGATTAGATATAGAGACAATACACGGAGCATCAATTTCAAAAGCAGCAATCAAACTTATTGAAAATTGGCCCTTGGTTTACACAAATATTTACGTTATCATGTAACTATGACCCACTTCTTGATAGTTAGGTCTTGCCGTTCTCACAAACCCGTTGACATGTTATAATGGAACGTTAATATATAATTCATGAAATCTTTACTTCTTCTTCTCCTTCAAGTATCTATCTTTCAGGGAGGTCAATATAGCCTTATTCACTGAAACTCATGCTAGCAGATTTTGCAGGCGTTGGATTTGGGTGCGTAACACGCAGTACTCTTGATATGCAGCAAAACCATTTCATAAGCATGGGAATTCCAGTATTTTTGTTTCCAAAAAACTGGTGCGTATTTGGCTTAGGATTTTTGGAAGTAAAATTTTCTGAAAATTCATGTCTCTTTCAGTGTTCTTTCAGTTTAACCTGAAGTCGTATCTGCCGTATATGTTCTCCAAATGGTGTATAAACCTTTGCAGTCCTTCAGGAGTGTCAACTTTAAGAACGTTATCATTGCCTGTAACATTACAACTTACCCGACTGTCGAGTGTTCTCCAATATGACCTTTGACGAAAATAGTTCGTCCTAGAGAGACCAATGCAGTACACATACTTGGAAACAACCATAAACTAGAACTGGGACAATTCTCAATAAATCCGATGTGGCATCGAGAAGGCCCGCTCAGTATTTATTAAAATGAGCTCGATTTTTAAGAGTCACAATCTGTCCTTACACAGGAAACTCAGACTATTGCGTTACTACGTTTTCTCGATCCTTCTGTATGGCGTAGAAACTTGGACACTCACTAAAGAAACGACCAAGAGACTGGAAGTATTCGAACTATGGCTCTACAGGAGAATATTGAATATATTTTGTACACAAAAAATTACCAACATAGAAGTATTGCGACGTATGATTAAAGAAATAGAATTGCTTGATACCGTAAAATGTTGGAAATTTCAGTATCTCGGGCACATAATGATGAACCCAGATAGATATGGGTTATTACAACAAATCCTCCAAGGCAAAATTAAGAGCAAGAAAGCACCGGCTCGTAGGAGAATATCTTGGTTAGCAAACCTTAGAACGTGGTTTAACAAATCATCAGCAGAACTTTTCCGAATCGCCATCAACAAAGTATAAATTGCTATGCTAATCGCTAACATCCGAAACGGATAGGCACTTGGAGAAGAAGAAGAGAAACCAATGCCAGTGAGTAGACTTAACCGTCCCACCTCCGGCTGCCGAACCAGCTTCCTCACTCCCCTTCCCTAACGATCCTACATTACAGCACCACACCATGAAATTTCGCTTAAAAGTAGACTGCAGACTACATTATCTGGGGTAGATTACAGGTTGGTACAAGTTCTTTATTATCTTTCTTAATTGTCTTCTAGTGCTTCTCTAATAGGTGTTCTAAATACAGGTTAAATAGGAGATGGACAGTATACACCACTCATGTATCCATCGCTTTACATTAAACTCTACTGACGTTGTTTTATATACTCGATCCGCGACCTCTTGCTGTAAGTACAACTTTGATATTACTATCGGTGCCTAAATAGCGTAGCAGTTAAACAAATTCACTATGTTTGGACGTTTGCACACAGCGTTGTTAAAATGGTAACAATTACGATGCTTTGTTGTGTGTTAAAAAAAATCCTAAAATATTTTTCATTTTATTTTTTAAATCTCTAAAAGTCAATTCTAATTATTAATTTGTAGCTACATAAGCAATTCTTAATCTATCGTCGCATTAATCTAATTTCCAAACGAATAAACGCACCATTTAGTTTGCATTCTTGGTTTGATGAAAAGCAGTTAATGAATAAATATAAATATTAATATAATAAATAATAAATATTAATAAATGAATAAAACGTATTAAAAATAGATTCTAAAACTTAAAAAACCGTTATTAAAATTGGTTATTGAGAAATTTGGTACTTTTAATGTCCAACTTTTGTCTATAAAGTTGACGTATTTTCACAAATGGGAGTTTTTGATTGCAGGTGCTCCCAACTTTCGTTTAGTTTTGTTTTATTGAAAAGTTTTGCCCCGTGAAAAGCAACTTTTCTAGCGTTTTCGCGTAAGAGGATTTAGGATTTAACGTTTGGTCGGATTTTTGACCGGTCCTCCTGGGGTTAAAATGTAAGAAAAGAACTTTTTTTATCGAGAAATGTTTGCAGAAAGTAACTCTCCGTCCCGACCGTTGGACACAATGGGGCTTACTGCATTTTTCCCGGAAGCCCAAAGTTTAAATGTTGTGATATTCTCGCGAATAAAACTGGATATGTCAAAAAACATTAGATACTTTCTGTTTTAATCACATTCCAAACGCATTCGTCGAAAAAACATTTCACTGGTCATCTCCACATTCACAATTCGCAACCATTTGTACCGACGAAAACCGCCAAAGTAGAAGAGATTGTTCCGGGCATTTAAACCCGTTATTTCCGGCCGTGTTGCGATGCGGCTCCCCTGAGGGTTATTTCAGTTCGCTTATGATTTATGGGGCGAATTTCCGAAGAATGGAAATTTTTGTCTACTGGAAAAATATTCTGCTGGTTATCTATTTGTCAAAATAACCGATCGTATATATTCTCGGCGGTGTACTTGTCTCATCGTAGGAATCAATATGTTTAAATACTGAAAAGTAAAATATTTTTTAGGAGAGAAGGTTCAATGATTTTAATGGATTTATGTTTCTCGTTTACGTCATAACCGTTGTGTTGAAATCTGTGGGTAACTAAACGAACTTGCAAATAGCCTAATAATCAGTCTATGCTAGAGCTTTTCGCAACCTAAACCTAAAATGTCTGACGTCTTAAACTGATGCTCTCCGTACTCTTGATCTTTACGTAATTTTAGATTAGGGAGTAGAAAATACTATATAATGCACCAAGTTTGTTAACCTGCTGCATACTACACTTTTTATAGGAATAGGAAGTAGAAAAAACAAATAAAATCTCTTAAAAGTTTTAGATGTTCTTAATATTGATGATGTTTGCATTTCAAGATGACCGAAGCATGCTTTGTTTGGTATTTCACCATTTGAAAACAGCAAGTATTAATTTTGACATTTATTCTAAAATACTCAGAGATAATATTTAGATATTTTGCCAGGTTATCGAAAAGAAAATCAACTATGCGTCGTAGGCAGACTCTGATCAGACCATGATGATTAGAATCACCTTTCTCAAATTGACTTAATTAATCTATCTAAAGTGGTCCATGCTCTATCTGTGTTACTGACAGTATTTTGAAAAACGGTCAGTAATATTTCAAAATCTGCGGACCGTTCATAAAAGTCAATTAAAGTAAGGCCAAGTGTACCTTTATAGGCTATTCTAATCATCGTGGCACAGATCGTAACACTCTCGTAGGTAGAACCGACTTAGGGAAATATTAATTATCATTGAGGTTGTATTTAATTTTTTTTTTATTTTGCACCCTTAATATATTTGTTAAAAAATAATTGTTTTTGTTGTCAATATGTTGTATAATATGAATATATTTTCACAAGAGAATTACAAATAGAAGTATTTTCAGTTTCTCAAACATGTTATCAGCAATAAATGAATGTATGGCGGAATTATAATTCTAGTGGCACGATAACAACAAGTTGTGAGATTGTGGCATAAATTGCTGCTGCTAATAAATGGATGTGATTTGCCTGCTGGGAATACCTGTAGGAGATCCTAAGCAGATCAAGTCCCGAGCAAAGATTTAAAAGTGTTTTGAAACTTAGTTAGAAGTTCGTCAGTGCGAGTTTAGCGCAATTGCATTCGTTACGGTAAATTAATTCTCATGTTCCTTTGGGAAGTTATTGAAAATATTATTCAAAGATTCATTTTTCGCAAGTTTTACATTACTGAATGATGCCAAAATGTTACGGACATTACATTGATCTTTGTGCTTGCTTCATCAATATTAAAACTCGCAGCACTTGATTTATTTTGTTAATTCTGTTCGGTTTAAATTATTTAATTAGTTTACTTCGTTCAATAGTTTAGTTAAATTTTAGAATATATTATCTAAAAGTCTCCCTTCAGTAAAATATTACAATTTACTTCTAAAAGTTTTATTAGTATATGTTTATTTATAATGTTTTATTAATATATATATAGAAAAAGTGTGCGTAGTCTACTAAAGCAACTCATGAATTGATATTTTGATTGAATCCAGAGAATAGATTTTCTTTCTATAACAATCCTTGAAACATTCTCTTTTGTTTCTAAAGAACAGCGTGCCTTCTTTGCCTTCATATTCCGTTTGCATATATTCTGTTATACTTTTTTTTTTTTAATGAAAAGAATGATGGTAGAAATTTCATTTTCGTCTTCTTTGAAATTTATCTTTCTCTATTTCTAATTCCCGGTCATCACAGTTGTGTACGAATATGCCATTCTGACACGCTAAAAATAATCAAATTGGTAACAGATAAGGGCTTCAAATCGGCATTAATTATTAGTTTCAAGATAATTACGAAATTATTATATTTACCGACATAGCAGCATCAGCTGTTAAGGATCCAAATGGACCTATAGACATACTTAAAGGTTTTTGGCTTCTCATGAGCATGATTTGCAGGAGAACTTGCGTATGGTAACATTGTTCGTACCATTTACTTTCGTAAAGGGCTGTGGCAAGAGCGCCGCTCTAAAGTGAAAGAACAATATTGAAATCATAATGATATTACCATTTGTCAAAGATGCCATGCCTGAACTATAACTTCATCACAATTCCACGCCAAAAGTAATAACTGACTAATCATCATTGCAGCAAATGCTCCATTAAATGCTAGATTTTGTCCCTAGATGAGTTTACATTTACTAATATTTCTATTCGATACTAAGTAAATATACCTTACTGCAATCACTTGACAGACTGCTGTTGCAAGCATTACTGACGAAACGCTATATTCCAAAAACATGACGTGGGTGAAGCATTTATTTACGGCCATAACGTACCTAAAAGTAAAAACAAATACAAAATTAAGGAAATTTAGTAAAGTTTTTGCTGAGTTAACCGCCGTGACATATAAGTTCAACGTTCAACGGCAGAATTGTGTAGCTTCGTGAACGCCACAGTCACTATAATTGTATATGTCTTAAAATATTACAGCTCCGTATGGGTCTACGGTTAATATAGAAATCTAATTTTCCAAATTTTTTAAGTCCGTATCTGTCACGTTGGATGGTAGATTATTGCCATTCTCGGAATTTGCGTTTGCTCATGCTAAGACTAGAGAAAGATGTTTATGACTCGCATTATCGTTCTAAAAGTTACCTTTTTCATGTGCGGACTTGTATTATATGCAATGATATTTGAAAATCCAAGACGTTTTGCTAGAATAAGTTTTACGCTAGTATAACAATATAATATATTTTATCTCAGGTTAGATTTTTTTTAATTGTTGAATATTTAGAAATTTATTTAGAAAAAATTGTTCAGCCAAATATCTGACCAAAAAGATTCTGTATTTGAATAAGTAAATTTATCAGAAAGCGGAAGTGAAAAAATATTTTTTGAAAAAGAATTAATTAATAAATTTATTGGTCACCGAATCTACTCGATAGGCAGAATCACAAACACGAATATCGTCTTCTCTTTTATTGTCTATAAAAACAGAGGAAATATTTTTATGTATAAACATAATTCAAGGAATATTAAAAAAGTCAGAAGAAATAATGTACTGGACAACTAAAAACAATTTTACTACTTCAATATTTCCAAAACTAATGTCTTTACGTCGATATTCATACATAAAAAACATACATTTTTCTGATAATGAATCATATGATGATGATGATGTTCCTAATCCTAAACTAAACAAAATTTGGCCTATTTATGAAGCTCCAAATAGAAAATTTAGTACATTTTATATACCTGAACGAGACATAAGTGTAGATGAAAGTTTGTTACTATACAAAGGACGATTGGGTTGGATCCAGTAAAACATGGTATTTGTATTCGTTTATTATTTATACTGGAAAAGGAATTATAATATAATAAAAATATAACACATGCCTATAACTTCACAGGTTTAGCAGATTCTCTACTAGATATGGGACATTGTGTAACGATCAAAAATTATTACACATCCCCACAACTAGCAGATTTCCTTGTATCCAAAAAGACCGATTTATATTGCCTTTTACTTGATGAAAATCCATTTATCAAAATAAATAAGAACTAAAAGTTCAGATTTTCACGAAATTATATATTATGACATGACAATTGTTTCGACAACAATATTGATGCAAAACAAAACTGATAGAAGAAATGACTGAAAAATATCACTTTAGTACAAACGTTAAGAAAAGAGGGCAACAAAGACATGGGACTATTACGACTAAAGGAAAAACATTTTCCTGACTTTATTCCTCCAACTGAAAAAAAGGCTTTACCTTATAGAAATTGTGCAGTAGTTCAAGATAATGGTGCAGAAAGTATGATGTGGGACTCTGCGTAGTACCTTGGTTTAAAATGTACCATACACAATTATTTTTTTTGTGTAAATTAGAAGATAATAAGCATGACTAATAATTATTTAAAAAAAAATAAATGATTTTTTTTGTACCTAAATTGATAAAAAGTGCATTAAGGGGTTAATCATCAAACAATTAGATGAATTACTAAAATCGTTAACCAAAGCGCCCCAAAAGCCAATACATCAAATTGTTTTATTGCATACAAAAAATACCGCAGAACCTTAGTCAAATCCTTGCATTTTTTGAGTTATCGGTATTTTGGTAATTTTCCCTTTTTTTATGATGTTTTTGTTAAGTTAAAATTCAAGTAAACTCGGACAAATTAATTTATCATTAGAATTGACCTTTAAGTGACATTTAAAGGGTATCATTTTAATTAATTTTTATTTTGTACAGTTAATCCATATTAGTTAATAGTAAAATAAACAAATAAATGACAAATTTTTTAAAATTAATTGCGGTGCGAAAATAATCCTAAAATAAAATATTTATAAGTAATTCAGCGTTTTTTGTACTAATAATTCATACATTCATTCACAATAATAATTAAATTTTTTTTATGTGAGATGCTTGAAATATCGGCCTAGGTCCTGGAAACATACTTTAAAATTAGGACAAAATTATCTAAATTGTCCTATTTCTATTCGAATCTACACAAAGTTCTTGTAAGTGTCCTTCCTACATAATATTCTTAATTTGAAATTTTCAACATTTACAAAAATCTTTCCCGAATTTACGAGTGCTATTTATCTGTTGCCAATGGTGTTCTTTAGGGATCACACATTATGAGTAAGTATTCCATTCCAGTTATTTATTAATGATGTTTATTATTATTATTATCATTATTATTATTATTATTATTATTATTATTATTATTATTATTATTATTGTTTTTTGTTAACTGACAATTGTTCAAAAGAATTGCATCACGATTCTCTTACTCTTAGTATGATCCAGGATCACTGATATGGGGCCTTATCAACAGCATTCGACAAACCGCATTAGACAATGGTCGTATACAAATATGTATTTTTCTTTGAAAATTCCTAATAGATGGGAAAAACATTTCATCCACGTAAATACTGTGGAAATTTAGTATCCTCATGATATAACGATTTTGCGAATTTGCAAGAAAAAATTTTTAAAAAAGCATTTAATAAGGTCGTAATAAAAGCTATTATGCTATTTATGAACAACAATTCTATTGTGAATCTGGTTAAATAGATGAATTTGACCAACCTCCCTCGGTCGTATAGCTAATATGGCAAAAACCCTCTTGAATGATGAGCTAACTAGGATGTTTGCACTTAGGATTATCTCGATGTAAATACGTCATTTTGAAAACTTTGATGATAACCGTTTAAAGAATATCTTATTCCGTTTTGACTCACCTTATCACAATAAACATTTAACAATTTTATTACCTATTTTTATTGAGTAGACCCACTAACAAATAAACTATATACCTTCTATCAAATCTGATCAAATGGAAAACATGACCATTATTTGTCAAAAATCGTTACAATTCTCAGCAGAGAGCTGCTTTGGGAGCTTTTAAATTTACCGATAAGCAGCATAACCTCTGTAAATATAATCAATCAACTAGAAATATAACTCTAGAAATCTGCTAGTATAAATTGATAGTCTTTTTCCGTATAGTGTAATGTGATTTTCTCATTTAAATATTTAGAAATGTTATCGAAACTCTGTGGCTGTTAAAAACTTTTGCATCGGAAAATTACTTACTTAATCAACTTTTGATGCTTCCTGCACAGTAACTTTAAATTTCTAGCGACATCATAACTGATGGTATTTAGGTTTGTACTATCCAAGCAGCCTAGATTCCGGAAGTGATATTGTAGTATTTCAAGTTCGGCCTGAATAAATATCAGCAATGTTGTAGCAAAAATTTGAAGCGTGGGGGCACAAGTAGATGTTAAGACTATATCCACAATTTGTTCTAATAAAAGCCAATTGTAGTATTTGTTCACGTCTACTGGATACCATAATGTAAGAGGAAGATAGATTTCAAGGGATTGATTACTGTGTTTCTGATTCCCGGTGTATTTGTATGTGCTGACCAATCCTACGGAAATAAATTATTTGGTCAATTAAAACTATGAAAATTGTTAATATTCTTAGATTCACTTATACTTTTAAAAAAGTAAATTGTTATATATGGAGGATGAATTTTCGTTGACAAAGTAACCAAATAAACAAAAGCTTGCAGTCTAAAAAATCCTTAGGTATTTTTGGATCTACAAACAACACTGTTGACATAAAGTTGAAAATATGTCAAGAGGTGTAAGACTAGATGATAAGGATATTATGATATAAGATATGTCTATATTTTCCGAAGAGTCCAAAAATATATATAAATAATTTATAATAAGAAAGTTGTTACTTATCCACTCAAAGACAAACATCCTGTTTATATAACAATATAATATTAAGTATAAAAAACTTTTGTCTCGAAGTTTCTTTTTTGGTATTTTTTAAAGGTGTTGGGTCCATCAAATGGTTATTAAAGGGGTCGCCAACAGTTCAATTTATTTTTGACAATTTTTTTAAAAATACAATTAACGGACAAATAATAAATGGAGTGTTACATTTGTAAACAAAATAACCGAAATAGAAACAAACCAATAAGTTACGGATCGTCTACAAAGAGGATAAATTATCAGTTTTGCTTTTTATGTGAAAATTACAAATCAAGCTTCGAACAAATCAAGCAGTCGAACAAAAAAGCAAATGAAGAAGCAAAAGACGCTCCAACTATTTTGAAAGCTTCGAAGAAAACTGCATCAGCTGCCAAAAGTGATGGGCATGCTTCGGCTGTCAGTGTTATTGCCCAAGAGGCATGGGTTGCGTTTCTTCACTCAGCTAGCAGTTGGGAGTAGCATGGTACTAGTTCAATATACTGCACCACTTCCCTTATACCTAATGAATATGGAATGAAAACAAATTGCTGAATTAAATGAGAACGAATATATATGATTTTTCTTATCTGGAAGCTTACTGTAAACATAGTAGTTATAATTCTCACATACAGGCACTTACCCATCTCAATTAATAGAGAACCTCCGAAAATTGCAGAAAAAAACAGAAATTTTGACAGCTTGCTGCAAAATAGTACATGCCTCTTGTAAATTTTGCATCCCACTACATCGTTTTCATCAAATAGAATTGACTCTTCGTGAATTGCGTTGGAAAGGAGTTGCCTAATCGATTCAGACTGATACACAAATACTTTAGTTATTATCAGAACGGCGTAAAAAAATTTTGAAAGAGCTTCGATACCTAAAGATAAAAACAAACATAATGTTTTTGGAGGATCTTTGCTCGAAAAATAAATACTCCATTGACATAAATAATTGCCTTACACAAATTATTTACTATATTAACTAAGCACACAGTTAATATAGGTAATGGTATTAACTTAAATACTATAAGTGACTCAAGGAGTGACTTTATTGAAAGAGGATTTCACAATTAAATTAGAACAAAAAATATAATTTAGTAATAGATTCTTCATAGCTTCTAAGAAATTTAGTTTTTTATTTTTTGATTCATTGTGTAAAATATTTTAATTATCGTCAGAAGTGAGCATTTTTGATTTTTTCTGAAAGTTAAAATCCGAATTTTTATTTTTATGCGCTGTTTTATGTTCGTTGATGACATTGTTAAATGTTTGACCGATATACATTTTTTGATGTGATCTACATTTCAACTTGTAGATTCCAGAGTATTTAGTTTTTCGTTATTTAGTTTTATTGTTTTTGAAAATATTTCTATGGTGTTTTCAGTTTTAAAAGCAATCTTAAGACCAGATTTAAATAAATGTTTCTAAATATTTCTGCTAGATTCTCGTATGTATTTTATTGTTTTATAAATTTTGGATTCGGTGTTTAATACGAGATTAATCTGTTCAGAATTATTTGAAACAGTTTTTTACTTATAATCTTATCTATCAAAGAGGGGTTGTAACCATTCTTAGAAGCTTATTGTTTAATGATATTTTATTCTTTTTCAAAATTTTCTGTGGAAAGTGGTATATTTAATTATAATATATTACTGCGTGAGGGTTTATGGTAAATTTAAAAATCTAATTTGTTCTGTAATTTAGTTATAGTTAAGTCCAGAAAGTTTAAAGAGTTATTTAGTTCCGTCTCTAATGTAAATTTTATACGCTTATATGATGACGTAATATGATTCAAAAAGGACTGCAGTTGTCTTTCCGTTCAAGTGAAACAAGCAAAAACATTATCTTCGTATCTACACCACCAAAGAAATCTTGTATTTAGAGGATGTTTATGTATGATATTATCTACATTGCCCATGAAAATTTCGCTACGTAGAGGACCTAGAGGACCCATAATTTATCCTTCTGTGACCATTATGTTTAAAATTTCTTTTAGAAAGGTGTTGGTAAATGTTGATTATAATGGAGAGTGGGTGCTTTGTATCCGAATTTGATTTATGGTGTAATTCATGAGATCGTATTGTCTTTTATTTTGACACATAAAGAATATATTATATTATTATATTATTCGGTGGAATGCTTGATATATAAGATTATATCTAAAAAACAATTTCAAATAAATCTATCTATCCCATATTATACACCGAACCCAAAATTAATAAAACAATAAAATACATTGGAAAACCTAGCAGCAAAACACATCAATCTAAATTTGGTCTTAAGATTGCTTTTAAAACTGAAAGTCTATCTACAAGTTAAAATGTGGATCATGTCCCAAAATTTATATTCGACAAACAGGTAGAACATTTATCAAACGCATTAACGAACATAAAAGAGCATATCCAGCGTTTTACAATAATTCTAAATCTAAATCTAAAAAATCTAAATTTGTCCGAAGTTATGGAGATTAACAAAATGAGATATTTGATTCTGTTACTTAATGACCAATTGGATTTAAATGCGTCTCCGTTGTTAAATTTAAATTTATAACCATACAAGGGCAATTAAGAATCTATTACTATATATTGTTGTAATTTAATTATGTTAAACGGATTTTGGTCAAGCAAAAGCCACCTCAATTCAATCCTTGTAAAATTTGTTTTCAAAAAAGTAGTAATTGACTTTTTTATTGGAAAAAAATGCATTAAAGGAACGATTCACAGTGTGATTGAAGGGAACTATGAAGAGTGTTAATATTGAATTTTTCATTACATAGAAACATTTCATCCTTTGTAGCTAAGTAAGCTGTAATAATGAAAGGAAGTTACTAGGGAAATTGTGCTGTTGTCATTATTTTCAATTGGAATTAACTTTCCTTCCTATTTGAATTGCTTTTTCTCTTGGCATATTGCCGCTGTGATGGTACTTCTAATCTACTTTTAATATTCATAGTTAACCATGCAGTTTTGAAAGTTTAAACTTTCTAAGGTGTATGCAATATTTTGATATTATCCGCCATCCACTGAATATATCAGTAAATCTTATTTTTCTTGCACTCTTTCAAAGGCGCATCTTTGTCTTATGAAATTAAGATACACTCATTACAAAAGTTTCTTTATCGTCAAGGTTATTAATATGAAGTAACTTATGGCAAGGCATGTTTTCTGAATCTTGCTGAAAATCTATGTTAGAGAGTTCTCTAAAAACCAAATAATACTAAAAATGTCAAAGGTATTATTCAAGTCTTTTAATCCTGATTAATATAACTTGAAAATATTAGTCTTAAAGATATTATCAGAAATATAGTACTCACTAATCTGAGGTCTACCGGAACATCAATATTTTTTGCATATTAACTTTTGCAGTTTCATGAGTCTGCATCTGTGCTACTAGTTAAAACAAAGCCGCGAAATTATAAACGATATGCAAATCTATTCTTACGAGCACAATAGGCATAACTTGATTGAAACTTTTCATAATGAAATGCTACTTTTTTACCACAAAGAAATTGACTAGTAAGGATTTCCTACAACGACTGGTCATTACATTTTACTTGTAATAAACTATCATTGTTTTGAAATAAATAAAGCTCGAGTACACTAAGCAAGCAAATCTTACTATCTATTATTTACTGCAAGACAAATTCATTAAATTAAAAATTGGGTACCTGCAGTGACATCAGTACGAAACAATTTGGGAAAATTAGCAGCTAGTAGAACTGGCGTTGACACGTACACGATTTGCGCAAATATCGAGTACAAAATATATAGTTTCTTCTGCGAAGTCGACAAATTATCTGTTCCTAGTCTCCATAAACCATTGAATATCATTGTGGAGCGGACCAGTTTAAATAGCCCCATCTTTGAGGCCATCCTGAAAGTGGAGACGGTTTCCATCGCAGTCACATTTTAAGGACGCGTCGAGCACTTTAGAATGCATACTTAATTAATATCGGCTTCGGAATAAACATACAACACAAGGAAAGTTTGATTTTGAGGCGGGGTCAGTTGTATGAAATAAAGACAGGTGCAAATTTCAAATGGCATTCCCTAAGACATAGCCGTACATATGCGCAAAAAAAAAGGTTCTCTCTGTTCCCAACTCATTTTTATACATTGTCAATTTAGATGACGATTTCTATAAATTTTACTAATATACATTATTTTTTGAGTAGATAAGTGGCAATTTTAATTGTAGTTTTAAATTTTATCACATTCACTTCAGGTGCCCGCACATTTAGATTCAAGAGTTATTCACTAGACAGATATTCATACAAGAAAAACGCTTAACAATAAAAGTTTAATTATATTTTCATTTGTTCATTTAATTAATTTTCATTTTATTATAATTCCTTTGTATTTTGAAATTTTATGTTTTCTTTTTCTCTTGACAGGATGCTTTACAACACTGGGTTGGATATCGCTATAGAGACATGGAGACTTATTTTTATTATTATCATATCAACATATTGCCATTTACCTACGCCTCTGTATACTTCCTGGATATTTTTTTAATTTTATCCACGTATTTTAACGTTTCGTCGTCTGTGAGTAAGTAGACACGCGTTCATATAGTATGCCAGACCGCAATATCAATTCTCCGTAAACGCGAATGGTAATAAGAGAGCGCTACTCTGCTGAATTATTTATTGCCCAGCAAATGCCTCCTGCAAATTAGTGGCTTTTTGTTCCCTTATGGCGAATAAGGTGCATAGACCCATATTGTTACATCACTGGTAATAAATCGGTTTCTTCTATCCACGAACGGAAGCATTCCAAAATCTGCATATGCAAACAATAACATTGACAATTATCTTCTTTCAGTTTCAGGTGAAGTTCGCCATCCTGTGATAGTCTATGTACATGGCGAATCATTTGAATGGAACTCCGGGAATCCGTACGATGGAAGCGTTTTGGCATCCTACGCAGATCTAGTTGTAGTTACATTAAACTATAGGTTAGGTATACTAGGTAAGTCACACTTCTTTACATTACCTGCTCAAACTTCTGTGCTAATTTGACAATAGCTAGCTCTATTTTTGAAAAAGTTTATTTTGGAGCAAGTGAGCAAACATTTCTTAACTTGTGATGGAGATAGTGATCCTTTATGTCGGACTGCACACAATTGACAATATAATGAAACTCAGCAGAAAGTGTACGAGTGTGTGTAACTTATTTTGTTAGACTGAATTTGCAATTTTATGAACTACAAAAATTGTAAATATGGTCTATAAAGAAAAATTCAAGGTCTTCTATTGAAACTTCAAAGTCTAACCTAGTTGTTAGTTAGATTTTAAAAATCATTACTAAAAGGTAGTTGACACCGTTCGAAATGTAAAAGGAATAAATGAAGTGATCAGAAAAATCTGGAAGGAGGGAGGGGAGATATACAATTGCTAAAGTAACGACGAAGGTTGATTCTTGATTGCTCTGTTTCAAAAAAACAACGACTAAATAAAAGTAAGCAAGATGAGCTAAATGGTATCCCTCAGAAAAAAAAGAAAAATTTGATGGAATATTCACTAAGGAGTCAGTTCCAAGTAAATGGACGAATACCCTATTTACTGCGAGGGAGAGGATAGCAAGAAGAATACTATTAGTATAAAATCGCCAAAAAAGCTGTTTTTAAAATGCAGAACCAAAGATATAAAATAAAATGGTTCAGAATCACAATGAGAAACCTAGAATTGCCAAAAAGTCGCTGAAATTGGCATCTAAGTATAGTTAAAGCACTATAAATAAATTTTAAGAAGAGCAATGGTACGTTAAGAGGGATTGACTTTGATATTTGGGAATGGAGGAAACTTTACTATCCTATATGGATAAATTAATGCAGGGTCACTAAATATTTGCTAGTTGGTTACGTTATTGGTGACGTGACTGAGGTTAATGCATGATATTATAAATATTCACAACACTACGGCTACAAAATTTATCACAGTAATATTAAAACTAGTAACGAGTTACATAACGTAGTGTTGTAAGCATTTGAAGCGTACAATATTTCAAAGGTTTAAAGATAGTATGCGTTGTTTAAGTGTATAAAACAAGTGTTAAAACAAGACATTTTCAATATAAAATGCTCATAAAATTTGTTGGAAAACATTTAGAACTATCGCAATATCTTCTTATATGCATTTTCAGGTTTTTTAAATGCCAATCCGGCCCCTCACCTCAAGGCCCGCGTTGCAAACTACGGCTTGATGGACCAAATAGCAGCCCTCCATTGGATACAACAAAATATAGCCTTATTTGGAGGTGACGCTAACAACGTCACCCTGGTGGGTCATGGTTCCGGTGCCGCTTGTATCAATTTCCTTATGATCTCACCGACTGTGATGCCGGGTCTATTTCACAGGGCGATACTTTTATCAGGGTCCGCATTATCGTCTTGGGCATTGGTAAGCAAAATATATATCGGCGCCCATAGTTTTAAGGGATTGATATTTTGCCATATTTCGTTTTGGTGTTTGGAATGTTTATTTTGGACTCGTGTTACTTATCGGCCTAACGTAAACAGTTATAATTATATCATTCATAATACTGTGGACCCACTTTGGTATTTTCCGAAGTGAACGGAACGTGAACCGGTGAAGACAGTCTGGCTTTATAAAAGCACTGGTTAGGTCGGATTTTAAGTAGCTCTTTGGATTGGCCATTTTGTACTTGATTTAGCGGGTCGCGGATCGTCGGATTCCCTTTAATAATCAATTAAGCGATTAAGCGAAACACTATGTTGTGCATTCTTTTAATATGTCCCAGAAGTGTAACCCTATGTCGCCTCGCTCGCCATCAGAACCCGCCCACCGGGTTTCTATTTCTATTTCATTTATTTTATTATATTATTTCGATTATTTCTTACGATCTCCGACATCAGCAGTGGGCTTAGAACTTTTCGGTAACATTCGGACAATGAAAGTGACTATAATGACCACGATTAGTGTAGTGCTAAATAAATGCGTTACTGTTTGATGCATGAACTGCAATTGAAGAAAGAAGAAAAGAAAATGAGATACAGTTCTTGCAGACTTTGCAAACACCGTATATTTATGGGAGTCACGAGGAATATTTTGTCACTTAAGACTTTTTGCTGTTTTGTTGCTATGCTGTGTTGTAAGGCTGATTAGGCAAACGGTTGGCTGTATTTCCCTCTGGTCGTCATACTGGATCGAAGCGCTAATCTTTGTCGTTGCCCTATAGTACTGAAATTTCCTATAAACGGCATTCGAAACGCATAAGTGGTGGGCATAAGGCAGTTTGATATGAAAATAGTTTAAAATATGGCATATTTCGCTCCATCTTCGGGCGAAAAGCTGGTCCGAGAAGTCTAATCCTATGTTGCCTCGCTCGCCATCAGGGTTTCTATTTCTATTTTATTATTTTTATTATATTATTATTATTATTATTATTATTATTATTATTTCTTACGATGTCCGACATATATACTATAATAAACTTAATACAAGCGACAGTGGTTTAGCCAATTGTTTGTTAACCGTGTTTTATTGGATACACATTTTTATACATTTCACACAATTCAAGAGGGACGCCATTTGGGAAAAGCCAAAGCGAATGATAAGCATTTAAAAGATATTTCCGATTAAACAGGGTGTTTCATACATGGTTAAAAATACAAAACTATATTTTTCGTGAATGTAAAACAAGAAATGATTAAGTTATAGAGTGATTGTCTTTGACTTTAATACAATGTTGCTAAATTGGAACACAATAGGAAATTTTTTTTATTTTATATACATTCTTCGATAAATTGAACAAAATGTTAGTCCTCGAAAGGCTTTAAAGGAACAGAAACAAAGCTTGAATGAAACGCCAAGTGAATATCGTTGAGTCAAAGTGATCCGAAAAAATGGAAAGAAATATTGAAATGTGTACTTTTGTTAATTTTAACTTTATCTTGGTAACTATATTTTTTTTTTACTAAAGTTGTTAAAAGAAGACAGTAGAAAATATTTTCATATATCCAAGAAGATCGCCAAGGCGATATTGGCAATTGAATTCAGTCGAAAAATTTTGATTTGATCAGGATGCAATAAAGCCGAAGCCCTAATAGTATACACATATGCATATTTGCATTACATAATGTTGCATAGACGTAATCCGCTACATAAACCGGCTTCTGTTGCTAAATCTGCAAACATATTCCAATATTTACTTCTAATTAAACGAAGTGAATTGAGTTCGAAAGGTGAAACTGGGAGATATTTTATTGGAAATATAATGTATTTAATAAAATCATTATAAAAAAATGTACAAAAGGCTCCACTTAGTTGATCGGTGAATTTATAATTAATTAGAGACGATTATAACAAATATGTTTTCCACGTTACTTATAAATTAAATCTTTTTCTACAAATATTAAACAAAATATTACCAGTAATTAAAAATAAAATTACCAGTTTGGTTTTGATGTCGAACAAGAAAAAATGCTGCAAATCATTAAGTTCCATATCTTCTTTGAAAGAGAGTAATTGCTACCTGATGTTCTATGGATTTGTTATCATTTATTACAGGTTGCAAAATATGAATAGCATTTCAGGAAATATCGGAAATTCATTTATTAATTTTAATTAAAATAACCTAAGTATGTTATAGGTTCCCACTATCATCCCTAGAAGAAATATGAAATATTTTTTACAGAATAGCGGTTTTGGATTACATGACTGACTGACATTATAAAAAATAAGTAGCAATAGAAACCCAGTCCACAATAATTGTATTTAGTTAACCATTTGTCGTGTTTATTATCAAGGTAGAAAATTGCCTTAAAGATATTTCCAATTTTTAAAGACTCCTGAATTTCAGAAAGTCATGCAAGTTTTAAATTCTAGTATCAGGTGCGATTCAGTTGCGTAAGATGAAATGATTTTTTCAAATTACTTACGTTAGCAATGACAGAACAATGATTGACGATATGTTTACAAGATACACTACTACTTTTTACAATAAAATAATTGTAGCACAAACAAAGTACAATATAAAATAAACAAGTAGATGGGTACATCTAAAACAGAGATAAAGATAAAAAACAAAAAAAAACAAACAAATAAAAATACAAACGACGCAAGAAAAGACAAAAAAATAATGAATAAATGAAAGACTATTGTCTATCGATATTTTTAATTTTAGTTGTGGTAGAATATTACCAAATCTACTAGAATTATTATTATTGTCTGCATTTCTAGGAATGTTTTCATGATTTTTGTGAATATCGGCTAGCTGTTGATACATCCAAATTCAGGACAATGGCATGATACGGATACCTCTTCAACCATGATTGACAATGATCCCGATAGCCGATTCTTGCCATAAATCGAATTGCCTGTTTCTGCAAAGTTAAAATAGCAGAAAACAACGAAACGGTATTATATATTTATTTATTTTATATATTTTACATGAATCAATTTCTCAAGCTGTCGTGAGACAAAAAACTTCAACTAAGTTTGCTTTTGACTGGAAAGCTGTTGGTACAAGTAGCTATACGATCGAATGGCATGGCGAATTTTCCTCGAATTTCTGAAAAATCTCGTGATTTGCGTTAGTAGCAATAATAAACTTCTATTTGAAAATGCATTAAAGTACGATTTGGGTGGTATACGCTATTTTCATAACAGGTTTTTGAACGTAGTCAATAGCGCCTTTCTATTTGATAAATTGCGAAATTCAAAGAGACTATGTAAATCCAAAATCAAACAGATCATTTAAAAGTTACCATGAAAATAGTGTAATCTCGGTAAGAGAAAATTACATTGGCCAAAAAAGTGTCGTCTTAATATGTACTTCGTGAATGTTTTCTTAATCCGGTTGCTGAAAAAATCTCTAACAAATCAGCAACTACTGAACAGTCGAATTTTTTGAATTTTCTGTTGACGAAATACTCGACATAATCTTATCGGTTTCAGAGAGAAATAGTTGTGGTTACAGTTTAAGTTAGTCTTTCTACTGCAATGTTATTCCCGCTATACAAAAAGGGCGATAGTAGGCTATGTATCTATGTATTGCTTTGCTATGGGTGTTTACTAAAATTTTGATTTGATAGGTTTAGTTTTTGCTTAAATTTGCTATCTGAATTTTATCTATTACTACTCCTCATCGTAACTTCATCCTCTAGTATATTGTTGAGGCTGATCAACTGATCGTCAATTGACAACCTTTTAATTGACTAGTCAAATTCGATCAAAACGTTTTAAAAACATCTGCAATTGCAGAGAGTTATCTATCTTTATTAAAAAATAATATGTATGTTATAATAAATTATTATGCTTTTGGTATGTCCAATTTACCTATAACACTCTTCAAGGAATATCCGAATACGATATTCGCGGAATCCCAATAAAGCTATCCACTCCATTTAGTCCTCAAAACGACGTCACGGCTACGTAACGCACGATATAAACAAATATAAAATTCATTGTGTTTTAAAAAATATTTTGGCCAATTGATTGGGCAAACATTTTGCCCGGTCAATTCCACAACACTAATCTAGTAGAGTTCTCCGGACAGTATACCGTTTCCACAACCTTTTATGATTTTGAATGAGTTTTTGCTGTAAAAGTGGAAGGGATCATTCTTTTCAGAACGTGTACCACAAGCCAGGGCCGTATTTAAGATGTTAGCCGACAAGAACTGTGCCTTGCGGACTGTTGTATTATAAGAGTAGGGAAATTTTCTTTGATTAAGTTGTTATATTAATTCATATTAGTGTGCTTTTTATAAATCTTCCTAAAACAAACCCTATTTGAGTTAGCTCGATTTCAAGTTGAATTTGCCCATTCCCATTCCCCATTTCCTATATGAAAAATCTAAACTGATTTGTATTTTGAAAATTCCTAGACAAAGAAGCAGTTATTGGAAGTTCTTAATACGGGAACGTTTGATAACAAGTATAAGTTGTCCGTCTTCCACCATATGTGATAAAACTGATATGGGGACAGCTGAAACCCAGTTTAAGAAGAAACAACAACAACAACGCCCAAAATTTAGTTCTCGGTAATAGAATTAATTAGAAGTGAAGTAGAAGAACTGTCTGCTTCTACCCGGAAAAAAATGTGTAGAAGAAAATGTTTACAGAAGTGCCACAGTTAATGACGGTGACGGTAGTGATTCTTTTCATGCAGAATAACTTTTTTTTGATAAACATTCTAACATTGTTTTATAGCTAAATTTACTCCTTCATTTATATTTATAATAAACATTTTAACCATGAAACTCTACACATATCCGTGTTCGTCAGCTTTCAGCATTTGTATGCGCGAAGTACCGAAGTACGATTCTGGAACGTTAATGTAGAATTGCGAATCTATTTATTGAGGGTTATAAAGAGAAACTCAAGCGAGGTCGGCCTGCGGTTAGACTTTCATAAAAATTTACCAAAGTTAATTAG